AACACACCTGGGTCATGTGTGACACACCTGAGTGTGGTATAACACCGATAAACCACCCCTGGCACCACCTGTGCCACACCTGCGTGATCTGCCGGGACTCGTGGTTACCCCTAATCAGCATGATCCGGTCTGGGTACCTCACCTGGGCACAGGGAACACACCTGAGTGTGGTATAACACCGATAAACCATCCCTGGCATCACCTACACTGTGTGTGCCACACCTGTGCCACACCTGTGTGATCTGCCGGGACTCGTGGTTACCCCTGATCAGCGTGATCCGGTCTGGGTACCTCACCTGGGCACAGGGAACACACCTGGGTCATGTGTGACACACCTGGGTCATGTGTGACACATCTGGGTCATTTATAACACACCTGGGACAGGTATAACACCGATAAACCATCCCTGGCACCACCTGTGCCACACCTGCGTGATCTGCCGGGACTCGTGGTTACCTCTGATGAGCGTGATCCGGTCTGGGTACCTCACCTGGGCACAGGGAACACACCTGAGTGTGGTATAACACTGATAAACCACCCCTGGCATCGCCTGTGCTGTGTGTGACACACCTGAGACAGGTATAACGCTGATAAACCACGCATGGCATCACCTGTGCCACACCTGCGTGATCCGGTCTGGGTACCTCACCTGGGCACAGGGAACACACCTGGGTCATGTATAATACACCTGAGTGTGGTATAACACCGATAAACCATCCCTGGCATCACCTGTGCCACACCTGTGCCACACCTGCGTGATCTGCCGGGACTCATGGTTGCCCCTGATCAGCGTGATCCGGTCTGGGTACCTCACCTGGACACAGGAACACACCTGGGTCATGTATAATACACCTGAGTGTGGTATAACACCGATAAACCATCCCTGGCACCGCCTGTGCCACACCTGTGCCACACCTGCGTGATCTGCCGGGACTCGTGATTGCCCCTGATCAGCGTGATCCGGTCTGGGTACCTCACCTGGGCACAGGTGACACACCTGGGTCACACCTGTGCCCTTTATAACACACCTGGGTAATGTGTGACACACCTATGGTGTCACCTGTGCCACGGGTGACACACCTGGGTCACACCTGGGTCACACCTGGGCATGGGTGACACACCTGAGTCACACCTGAGCACAGGCAATAACCCATAAGCCCATCCATGACATCACCTGTGCCAGGTGTGACACACCTGGATCACACCTGGATCACACCTGGGTCATTCATAACACACCTGGTAATGCAGGGCACACCTGTGGTGTCACCTGTGCCAGGTGTGACACGCCTGTGCTGTGTGTGTCACACCTGCGCCTGTCATGCCTGTGTGGGTGTGTCACACCTGTCTGTGCCTGTGCACACTTGCCCAAGTGTGCCACACCTGTAACACCTGTCACACCTGCCCAGGTGTGTCACTCCTTGCACACCTGGCTCACCTTGCACACCTTACACACCTGCCCAGGTGCGTCACACCTTGCACACGTGTCTCACATTGTACACCTGCTTGGCTGTGTCACACCTGTGTGGGTGTGTCACACCTGTCTGGGTGTGTCACACCTGTCACACCTTGCATACCTGCCCGAGTGTGTCTCACCTGTCACACCTTGCACACCTGTCACACCTGTCATTCCTGTCACACCTTGCATATCTGTCACCCCTGTCACACTTGTCACACCCGCCCACCTTCAGCGCCAGCAGCAGCAGGAAGGTCTCACACCCATCCCAGGTGTGTCACACCTTGCACACCTGTCACACCTGCCTGGGTGTGTCACACCTATCTATACCTGTGCACACCTGCCCGGGTGTGTCACACCTTGCACACCCATCCCAGTTGTGTCACACCTTGCACACCTGCCTGTGTCACACCTGTCACCCCTTGCACACTTGCCCGGGTGTGTCACACCTGTCACACCTGTCCAGGTGAGCTCACCTTCAGCGCCAGCAGCAGCAGGAAGGTCTCACACCTGTCACACCCATCCCAGGTGTGTCACCCCTTGCACACCTGCCCGGGTGTATCACACCTGTCTGTACCTGTGCACACCTGTCCAGGTGTGTCACCCCTGTCACCCCTTGCACACTCACCTTCAGTGCCAGCAGCAGCAGGAAGGTCTCACACCTGTCACACACCTTGCACCCTCACTCACCTTCAGCGCCAGCAGCAGCAGGAAGGTCTCACACCTGTCACACACCTTGCACCCTCACTCACCTTCAGCGCCAGCAGCAGCAGGAAGGTCTCACACCTGTC